AACATGTTTCTTTTACAAACCCTTTCTATTTTAGTATGTTGCTAATCAAAAATTGTAATAAGTAATTTTTCTTCAATTGATTATTGATTCTGAATTTGAATTCTCTTTGATGAAATTCTATTTCCTAAAAGTTTTAATAAAGTTGTCAAAATAGTTTCTGAATTTGAATGAAAAATTGAAATATATAGTTTGAAACAAAAATGCTAGCAATTTTCTTCCAGTAGAAATCATTGATAGTTTGATTCCCATTTTTATCAAAATGTATTTTTCTCTCTTCTTTTTAACAACACATTTTTCATTAAAATAATATTACACGTAAATAAAAATTTTTTCCTTATTTTTCATCTACATATTCTCCATCAATTTACTATTCTAAAATTTATTTTTCCAAAAAAAAATGGTGTCAAACACCCTCTATAATGTTATTTCAAGATGGGAAAACCTCCAAATGCATATGCAAAATTTTCCCTAAAAGAAGCCCTTGATGCGGTGGTCGAGTTGGTGGAGTAGGTGAGCGCCAAAATCTTTGGTCATGAGTTCGATTCTCGCTATCAACACTTTCTCGATCGAGCCTGTTGCACTGGGATTGCCTAGTACAGTTTATCTGACTGGCGTGATTTGCAGGCTATTGTGTCAGCCCAATGATTTACCCAATGTGCACCGGAGAGGTAGTGGCTACGGGTTCACCCTTGTAAAAAAAACAAAAAAAAAAATCCCTAAAAGAAAACAACGTAGTACTCGAGTTTGCGAGATCGTCGCCTTTTGGCCTAAAACATGTACTTAAAAAGCAGGAAGAAAGCAACACAAATTAGTTAAATTTTACGGAAAATCGTCTTTGTAACATGGTATCCAGCCCATCACTGTTACAATAGAAAACGACATAACAAAGCTTAGCATCAGTTTCTTAAAGTCCCCAACTGCTATCGGGGCCGTCTTATAAATGTTGGTTGTCTTTAATAGCATTGCTATCTTTCTCTAGATTGGGTGATGGACGTGTGTTTATGATATTTTCTTATGCTTTTGTGGTCCCTTATCCAAGGAGTAGCCGAATAGGTCGTGCACTACTATTGAAATAATGGACTCGAAAAAAATTATTCTACTTTTCTTTAACCCGACCATGAAATTGAGCTGGATGTTACCATTAGAAAGAAAAAGTTCAAGATTTGTAAAAATGGTAACCAAGGCACGCGTAATTCGCGCTTAGTTTACTGTATTTTTCTCCCCCAATTACCGGACTAAACTCCCATAATTCATGCTTGGTTTTTTAAAATTGTTCAGCGATGTCTAAGTTATCCTATCAAAGATGTCGAGCATGTTAATGGGTCACTAGATTATTAGATAAGTTATTATCTTAAACTACGACTAGAACTTTGCATGTTTGGGTACATTGGTTAAATAGAATTTTATACCATCTAGGACTTATTGATTGAAAAGTACTTTCTCGTCTAATTTTTTAAACCGAATCACTACATATGAGGCATCGTATGACCGGAACCTCCAAACAACTATCCAAAAAATTCACTCTATAATACCTAAATAACGAAATCAAAAACACCTCAAGATTGTTATACTTCTTGTGTCACGTGACGTGTGAAATATTAGTTAACTTGTAGTCACTCTCCTAATCTTTATTCTCGTTAGAGTTCGTCAACGTTTGCTTGTTATCCACTTTGGCAAGAGAGAAACTTCAATGAGGCGGTGGCATCACGTGGCGGTGCAACCGTCTTATCAGGGTGCTCCACCACACACCTTGAGGTATGTGGGCCACCAGCTAAGGTGGCGCCTTGACATTGGGTGGGTGCATCATCCCGCCCCCCTGGAGATTTAGTGCCTTGGCAAATATAGTGCTTATCAATATCACTATGTAAAGCGTATGCATCTAAAAGCATTCTCTTGGTAAAAATTACAAGATGTAAGAATATCGATGACTCCTCTAGACTAGACCAACGAACTTTTACAATCTATTTATATGGCTAGGAACCTAAAATTAACAATAGATGTACGAAGTAGTACAAAAGCAAAGTTACTTTCTAGTGTTTTTAAAGATTTAAAACATATTTATAACTTGTAAGATTTCAACTTATTTATAAAGATTCTAAATCTTACGAGGACTTTAAGATTTTACTGTTAATTAACAATTATATATTTGTTTAGCATTGGCAAATGAAGGCTTATAAATCTCATCCAAATTTTAGAATGCATATGTGGAACTTTCTCACATGCCACATGTGGTGGTACTAATTGGCGACATACAAAGTGACGTCATTCTAGGGCAGTGAATTTTTAACTAATGGATGTTATATGATGGAATTCGTTCCCGCTTCCAAAAAATGGACTTTGCCATGAGGTCTTGGAATTTTTTTTTTATAGTAAGTCGACTTCGAATGACACACTGTTGTATGAAAATGAATCGATTACATATTTTTCCTAGCCTCTAAATTCAACTGAATCTAGTGATAGACTGCATTCTCCTCCATACTAGACAACTAACAGATGAATCACGATAATCCCACATGTCCACAATTACTTGCTATGTAAGAAAAGAAAGAAGCCATCTTGACATTTGTTCACGGGTAAGTCGACAAACATTTGTACTCAAAATGATGGAAGATTTATAGCACTCTTTTGTGAACTTCAATTTGATAATATGTTTGTGTTTCTATAATAATGACTTAGTTCCGACGAGTAACATTCAAGGAAAACTCAAAAATTGGTGCCAAGGCTCTGAGGATGAAGGACTCACTAATTCTTTACCACTATGGATTAATACTGTATTAACTTCATTCAGGTGACTTGTACTTAAACATAAGTACTATAATGTGACTTATTTTTAATGCAGATCTATCTGCGTATAAAAAAAGTCAATATTAACTATATATTTGCTGCTTATTTTTAACATGGGTCATCTCAAATATGCTCTAAATTATACAAGACGACTTGAGACTTCAGTTCGAGAAGTAATAAAAAGACGATGTCAAAAGACAACATAAAATTGTAAATTAGAGTCATCCATTAAGCAAGGAAACTTGTATTAAGTAGCCGAACTTCCAAAACAAATTGAAGATAATCAACATTACCTCCAGAATTAGCAGAAAAATATACACAAAAGGTTTTAAGCTAGACTTAAAGACAAATGAGAAGGTAATTCGAATCTTGAGGCAATGGTGCCTAAGTAGACATGTACAAATGACAGCACAGAAACAGTTGCCAGACACGACCTCTTTATAACCGGGACATAGTATTCAACATTATATCTAAAATCTTAACTATAGACACCCTGTGTTCCAGTTTTTAATGAAGTTATAAAAACATAGATTCGTAGAGATAACCATATCCTCATCAAGGAAGTCTTTTACAAGGGCATGCAAAAATCAAAATTATGATTCAAAAGTAATAATCCACGCTTTTCTTCTTCTAAACTAGACTCCTATAACAAGATGAACTGCAAACCAGAAAAACCAATATGATGTGTAAGTTTCAGACAAATGCAAACTAATTCAATAACATTCACTTGTACGCTCCCATCCCAACTCCAGTTTCACCTCCATATGGTCTGGGGCTTTCATTCGCCCTGGAAAAACTAACATAATAGAACTCGGAGATTATGCAAGTGAAGAGCACGAAAGCTGCTCCTGCTGCAAAAACTCCCTTTCTCACAGTCTCGCAAGAGGGAGGGTCCTCAAAGAACCTTGACCTGTACTTGGTGTGGTAAGCATTTCTCACTGAACCCGCCAGCAAGCAAATCTCAGCAATGAAGAATGTCACCCTGAATGATAATTGCCGAATTTAGAATTCAGAATTTTATTGTGTGTTAGAAAGAAGACTTTGTAGGTAGACAATATATATGTAACATCAATCGTGTGAAGAATGATACTTTGAAAGTTTTGCAATTTTGCCAAATGGAATACTTTGAAAGTTTTTCAATTTTGCCAAATGGAAGGATATATACCAGCAGATTATGAAAAGAACAAGTGCACAAGCCCTTGAACCTCCGGGGTTTAGAGCCTTTCCACAGCAGAAGCATCTACTTGCAACCATTATGAGCACTTGACTGGCCAAGAGGAACAAAAATGCACCAACACCAAATCCCGTTGCAATATCAGAGTCGTAAACACAATACTGGTAATTATCTTCGCCATCCGTCCTTGTTGTGCCCTGTCAACAATCATATAATTCAAATATTAGGAAGAGTCAAACTTAGTACTACTAATATCAAGCTGAAGCTCTGCACTAACAACCATGAAATAGAGCCAAAGCCCCAAGTTTAGTTCAAGTATTTAACTGCTTTAAAAAAAACGGATTTCCTCTTGCATTGTGAATTCTATAGAATCTGCATCAAACAATGGAAATAAACTCATACGCACTTACTCACACTGGGAAAATGATTTTTGCAACTTTGTATCCACTAACCAGGATTCAATTTTATGGGGCCATTCTTCATTTGAATCCATATATCGTTCTTTACAGTGCCGCGTTTTACTTAAAAACCATATGAACAAAAGACTAGAATCCATATATCTTTCTCTACCCTGCCTTCCACATCCTTGACCATTGAATTGAGTAAAAAGTCATAGCTAGAAAATTATGGAAACTTGTCGACAGAGACCAGATGCCAGCCCGCCAGCCAAAAATCAATCCATATAAGAAAATTACAACGAGCATCAGAGATCAAACTTCGTTCATTCAAGAGGAGATGTTCATGTTAATATATTTCATACTCTTAAACAAATTCGAGAGGAAAATATAATCCAAAACTCATGTCGAATAACTTCGGTGCAATTAATTTCTCAATAACTACAAGTTTAATCTTATAAGATATCCCATGTCATTTAACTAATAATTTCTTGAATCTACACAAGAAATTAAGAGAAATAATAATTGATTAAGAGAGTACTCACAGTGCTTCGTCTCTGCTCAGCAGCAACAGCCAAACCAAAAGCAATAAGATCAAGAACGAAGACAATAACGATTAACAGTTTGGAAGCCATTGAAGTGAAACTTCAATTTGATACCCAGTTCCCAGATCCAGATCTCTTCGCTTCTCTCTCTGCTTAAAGATGCGTACTTCAGTAAACAAGAAGAGATTTATGACAGCTTATCATTCGTTCACCGACAGTTCCGGGCCCCGCTACTCACCACCCAAAAATTAAAAAATTAAAAAAGAAACGGGATTGACCAGGAAAAATAGAGGGGGCAAAAAGGGAATAATACCCCTGCTCTTCCAGGGCCGTGGATTTCTAGCAGTGGCAAGTACAGCATGCCAGAATTTTAAACTTCCAAATTCAAAATTACGATTTATTAATTTTTTTTTCCAAAAATTAGATGATAATTGATATTTTAAATATTAATAATTATATTACAAAATATTTAATTCATCTCACCTAATCCATACCCAACCATCCATACAAAACCCTATTCTTTTTCATCATCTCTATTTCTCGTCTCTCTCTAACCAACCTTATACCACTCTATAATCTATTGCAACCACTAGTCGTCTCAAGAAGCCATCATCGAATATCATCGCCGCCGACACCATTTCCTGATCTATTGATGCTGTTGCACTTTCTTCCCTCTTGCTTCATTGAGATCTATTATTATTATTATTATTATTAAGACACAATGTATTTCATTGACATATGACTTTGCCTTGCTTAAATACTCTTTGAGATACTAGGTTTCTTAGACAATAGTTACTTTTTCCCATGCCTTTAGGATAATACTTTAAAACATCAAATTTCGTGTTCGGGCCAATATTTAAATTTCTGGCTGTTCACAACCAATAATCAGAGATGCATCCCAAACTGTTCAAAGAAAATTTTATAAACTTTTAACCAAAATGTTCAACACAGTATATTATGTATCCAACTAGCTTAAAGTTTAATAAGAATAGGAATCATAGATAACTGTAAGTACATACAAATCTTTGTTAATTCTATACAGCGCAACAACAAAAAAATCCTTTCAAAGACATGAAAGGTGTGGATATTACACATCACTAGCACTAACAATTCTATCAACAAATCTCATGAGGTTAAAAGCTGCTAAATAAACCTACAGAGATGAAAAAAATCGGGGTGGATTGTCTTAAATTTTTTTGAGCAAACAAAAAAAAGCTTAATGAAGATGCTTCGACAAAATCATTTTCTCGCTCTATATTAACAATAACCAGATTAACACAACACATAGCCATAATAAGCCGCGTCGAGCTTGCAACTAATTTAAATATCACATTCCATTTCTTTGCCCTATTATAAATATTCTAATTAAACATATTGGAAAGCAAATATCCACATCTTGCATTATCTCTTCTATTATTTCATTAACAATAACCAGATTAACACAACACATAGCCATAATAAGCCGCGTCGAGCTTGCAACTAATTTAAATATCACATTCCATTTCTTTGCCCTATTATAAATATTCTAATTAAACATATTGGAAAGCAAATATCCACATCTTGCATTATCTTTTCTATTAATTCATTAAAAAGATGAACATATTGATTAAGTTACAGTAAAAAAAATTCAAAAGCCCAAAATGAACTATGGTCCTGTATACAACCTTCTTGTTCAGTGATCTAGTGGACAACCCACCAGAGAGAATGCCCACAAAGGCAGTATTCTATACATGGACTGAAAAAACTCGGCTAAAATGTCTAAATCGCACAATCAGGGTCTAGGAATATGACAATCTTAGTTAATACATGATTCAATTGTCACATAAGTAATTTCATTTTTCAACTTGCAAACAGAGGTCAAGGAAGACTTCATATTATTTCTCAAATCATTATACCATATGAAGAACAATAGAAAAATAAGGCAAAGATCAAGCTAACCTGAGACTTGGACCACGAGAGGTCCAGTACATCATTCAGATGTCCTTGAAATGAACAGATGGGTTTCTCCAAGAGGGCAAACACTGTCTCTGGCACCAAAATCTGTTCAAGGCTCACTGATTTTCGGCTTATGGATGACTTCCCTAGTCTCTTTTTCTCTGAGTAACTGTCCGAATTTGGTGCCATTGAAGAGGGCTCTGGTGATCCATTGGCCAAAAACTGAAGATTGAAATTTCCATCTTCGATTTTCTCCACCAACAAATCTCCCTTCCTCTCTGATTCAACAACCTCCCACACATGAATCACGCAGTCCTCTCCAGCCGTAGCAAGATACTTGCCATCCAAACTAAACTTAATTGTCCAAATCGACCCCCTGTGAGCCTGTATGTCCTGGCTTTTGTATAACGCTGTAAGCTCTTTAACAGATTTCCCATACTGCCTGACCCGAACTCTTTCAGGCACATGAAAGGAAACATCCTGACTATCATCTGTAGCAGAGCTCGACCTCCTCCCACCCTTCTCTGATGATGTATCTCTCTCATCGCTACTCCGCCTCTCCTTTTGCCCTGTAACAGAACTTGCCATATTTTTTATACTCTTCAACCAATTCCCTCTTTTCTTTAACTTACATCCAGTCTCACAGTTCCCATCTGCATTTGAATCCAAACCATCATTGATCCCATCCTCTACATTCTGCCTCCTCATCAACTCCTGCACAATAGGCGAAGTCCCGACACACATCTCAGAAGAGAACTCTTCCATGGTCAAGTGCCGCCCCGTCCCCACTTCCTTGATCTTTTTCCACATCCCATCTTCCCTCACCTCCTTCACCACAAACTCCTTCCCGTTATCCAGATTTTTTATTGTACACACCCCATTGACAGTATTTGACTTATTACACACCAAACCGTCATCAGACTCGCCTTTCCTTGGAATGGTCAATGAACTACTAAAGTTACCATTGCACGTTGAATCTTCTCTAATCTCTCTTTTGGGCGGCTTATTCTTAGTTTTGGCACTGATCATTGGTGATCCATTGCCAATTCTAGATTTCTCAACATCAGAATGGCTTTGCCTGTTGTTCTGATTATCAGTCTTTACAGGGAAACCAGTTCCAACAATCCCCTCCTTGCCTGGTGAAGAGGAATTCGAATTGATTATGCAAAACTCCAAACTCTTGCAAGAATTACTGTCCCCGTCCGATTTAGATCTTACAATCCCGGATAATGTCCCATTAGTATTACCACCACTATCATAATTACTATTAATATTATTAAGGGTCAACGAATTATTATGAATATTGGAAGAGCTCTCACTGGTGCTTAAGTGATCCGAAGAGGCCGATCGGTTAAATAAGTCACGAGAACAACCGGAAGATGACAAGGAGGGGCGGTGGCGCAGGAGGGAGGGATCTTTAGTGAGGCCCATTTGTCGGAGGAGATGGAGGCGGCGTTCCTCAACCGAAGACGGTTGGGTGATCCATACATCGTATTTATTAGACAAGCCCATGGGGAACCTGGGCACTGGCTCGGGGCTGTAATTGCAGTTCGGATCCTCGTCTTCCGAGCTGGAACGGGAGCAGGAACAGGAAGTGTTTGAGGAAGACAGGAGGCGGTCGAGGGAGTCGTGGAAGCCCTCTTCGTCGTCGTCGTCTTCCCCGGTTCTGCTCATCCCCGGGTCACATTGTCCGGTCCAACTCCACTGGGGTCCGTCTATGTCAGTGCTACGTATATGGTATATATATGTAGAAAGAGAGTAGGGTTTCCGTGAAAGCGAGTAAGAAGTTCAGGAGCGCGTGAATTTGGAAAATGGGGAGATCGAACAACACTGGAAGAGGGTTTTCAACTTCGAGAACTTAGATACGAGGATGGGAGAAGAGAGGTGAAACGGTGTCGTGTCGTGTGCTTGCAAACCTTTTGTCGTCTGGTGTTGAATTTAATTAATAAGGAATTAATGGAAAAAAAAAAAAAAAAAAACAGACATGTGGTGGAAAAAGAGAGGGGAAGATGCAAAAATAATTGACTTTTGGAATTTTAATTCAATTCTTCATCATTTTGTTCCACAGTTGTAGTTGATGTTTTAGAACTTCCAAATATATATTGTCGGAAACAATTAGCCCATTTAATTTAATTTAGATAAAAAAAATCATATTTTTATTCTATTTTAATAAAATTAATAAAATATATAATTGAAAAGTTGTATATTTCATAAAATTTATGGTTAAAATTATTTGTTATTTTAACTTAATTTTTAATTAGTTTTTTAGCTGAACCAATTAGGGGTTTATGGTAGTAGTATTATTGTTAATATAGGGTGTTTGATAACAATTTTCTTGAAAAAATGCATTTCAAAATAGTAAATTGATGGAAAATGTGTGGTTAAAAAATAAGAAATTTTTTTTGATTTACGTGTAATTTATTTTAATAAAAAATATGTGGTTGAAAAGAGGAGAGAGAAAAATATATTTTGAAAAAAATGGATACCAAATGAGGTCAATTATCTTGGTATGTAATTCTTGTGTTTCGGGTCTAGACATGATAATTCATTTCAATTTTTTTCACTACGTAATATCATTAGTATAGTATAAAAGCAAGCAAATTACTCGTAAGCCACCACTACAATGAATTGCATTAAGTCCTTCTTTGATTTTGATTATTTGAAAATTACTTAACCCTACACTTCGATAGTCCTTGGACTTTAGTCCAAGGCAGTCGAAGCCCTTTTTTCATGTCTTTCATGTATTAGTACATTGCTAAAAAAAAAAAAAAAACTGTTCTCCCCTGACTTTGTCTCTGCACATTCATTTTAATCACTCCTTCCCTACAAAAATGATTTTTCATGTTTATTCCATAATTTTTTTTAATATTTTTTAATTACACGAAAAAATACTCCTCAAAGAACTACTACTCAAAAAAATATTTATCAAACAAACGTATTATATTGTTAAAATTATTACAACAATAGTTGAATGGTTGTGTATTGGTTTCATAATTAGGAAAAATAAACGATAATTTTCAATAGTATAAATGAAATGTATGAACTTAGCAAGTATGATAGAATCAACCACTTGTTAGTAAAACAATAAAAGGTGAAACCAGAAGATATCTGCTATCTTGATTTGTAGTTTGAATGTGATACTTTTATGTTTGTTTGTATAGATGCATAATCATTAGAATGTGTTAGGTTAAACATCATTAATTGTCAATACTTTTCCCAACATGTTTCTTTTACAAACCCTTTCTATTTTAGTATGTTGCTAATCAAAAATTGTAATAAGTAATTTTTCTTCAATTGATTATTGATTCTGAATTTGAATTCTCTTTGATGAAATTCTATTTCCTAAAAGTTTTAATAAAGTTGTCAAAATAGTTTCTGAATTTGAATGAAAAATTGAAATATATAGTTTGAAACAAAAATGCTAGCAATTTTCTTCCAATAGAAATCATTGATAGTTTGATTCCCATTTTTATCAAAATGTATTTTTATCTCTTCTTTTTAACAACACATTCTTCATTAAAATAATATTACACGTAAATAAAAAAATTTTCCTTATTTTTCATCTACATATTCTCCATCAATTTACTATTCTAAAATTTATTTTTCCAAAAAAAAATGGTGTCAAACACCCTCTATAATGTTATTTCAAGATGGGAAAACCTCCAAATGCATATGCAAAATTTTCCCTAAAAGAAGCCCTTGATGCGGTGGTCGAGTTGGTGGAGTAGGTGAGCGCCAAAATCTTTGGTCATGAGTTCGATTCTCGCTATCAACACTTTCTCGATCGAGCCTGTTGCACTGGGATTGCCTAGTACAGTTTATCTGACTGGCGTGATTTGCAGGCTATTGTGTCAGCCCAATGATTTACCCAATGTGCACCGGAGAGGTAGTGGCTACGGGTTCACCCTTGTAAAAAAAACAAAAAAAAAAAACCCTAAAAGAAAACAACGTAGTACTCGAGTTTGCGAGATCGTCGCCTTTTGGCCTAAAACATGTACTTAAAAAGCAGGAAGAAAGCAACACAAATTAGTTAAATTTTACGGAAAATCGTCTTTGTAACATGGTATCCAGCCCATCACTGTTACAATAGAAAACGACATAACAAAGCTTAGCATCAGTTTCTTAAAGTCCCCAACTGCTATCGGGGCCGTCTTATAAATGTTGGTTGTCTTTAATAGCATTGCTATCTTTCTCTAGATTGGGTGATGGACGTGTGTTCATGATATTTTCTTATGCTTTTGTGGTCCCTTATCCAAGGAGTAGCCGAATAGGTCGTGCACTACTATTGAAATAATGGACTCGAAAAATTATTCTACTTTTCTTTAACCCGACCATGAAATTGAGCTGGATGCTACCATTAGAAAGAGAAAGTTCAAGATTTGTAAAAATGGTAACCAAGGCACTCGTAATTCGCGCTTAGTTTACTGTATTTTTCTCCCCCAATTACCGGACTAAACTCCCGTAATTCATGCTTGGTTTTTTAAAATTGTTCAGCGTTGTCTAAGTTATCCTATCAAAGATGTCGAGCATGTTAATGGGTCACTAGATTATTAGATAAGTTATTATCTTAAACTACAACTAAAACTTTGCATGTGTGGGGACTTTGGTTAAATATATAAAATTTTATACCATCTAGGACTTATTGATTGAAAAGTACTTTCCTGTCTAATTTTTAAAACCGAATCACTACAAATGAGGCATCATATGACCGGAACCTCCAAACAACTATGCAAAAAATTCACTCTATAATACTGAAGTAACGAAATCAAATACACCTAACGATTGTTATACTTCTTGTGTCACTTGACGTGTGAAATATTAGTTAACTTGCAGTCGCTCTCCTAATCTTTATTCTCATTAGAGTAATCTTTATTCTCATTAGAGTTCATTAATATCTGCTTGTTATCCACCTTGGCAAGAGAGAAACTTCAGTAAGGTGGTGGCACCACGTGACGGTGCAATTGTCTTATCAGGGTGCTCCACTAGACACCTTGAGGTATGTGGGCCACCAGCCGAGGTGGCGTCTCGATATTGGGTGGGCGCATCATTCCTCCCCACTGGAGATTTAGTGCCTTGGCAAATATAGTGCTTATCAATATCACTATATAAAGCATACGCATCCAAAAGTATTCTCTTGGTAAAAATTACAAGATGTAAGAATAAAGGTATCGATGACTCCTCTAGACTAGACCAACGAACTTTCACAATCTATTTATATGGCTAGAACCTAAAATTAACAATAGATGTACGAAGTAGTACAAAAGCAAAGTTACTTTCTAGTGTTTTTAAAGATTTAAAACATATTTATAACTTATAAGATTTCAACTTATTTATAAAGATTCTAAATCTTACGAGGACTTTAAGATTTTACTGTTAATTAACAATTATATATTTGTTTAGCATTTGGCAAATGAAGGCTTATAAATCTCATCCAGATTTTAGAATGCATATGTGGAACTTTCTCACATGCCACACGTGGTGGTACTAATTGGTGACATACAAAGTGACGTCATTCTAGGCCAGTGAAGTTTTTACTAATGGATGTTATATGATGAATTCCTTCCCGCTTCCAAAAAATGGACTTTGCCATGAGATCTTGGACTTTGATTTTATTTTATTTTATTTTATTTATTTTTTTTAATAGTAGGTCGGCTTCGAATGACACACTGTTGTATGAAAATGAATCGATTACATATTTTTCCTAGCCTTTAAATTCAACTGAATCTTGTGATAGAGTGCATTCTCCTACATACTAGACAACTAACCGATGAATCACGATAATCCCACATGTCCACAAGTATTTGCTATGCAAGAAAAGAAAGAAGCCATCTTGACATTTGTTCACGGGTGAGTTTGACAAAAAATTGTACTAAAAATGATACAAGATTTATAGTACTCTTTTGTGAACTTCAATTTAATAATATGTTTGTGTTTCTATAATAATGACTTAGTTCCGACAAGTAACATTCAAGAAAAACTCAAGAATTGGTGCCAAGGCTCACTCACTAATTCTTTACCACTATGGATTAATACTGTATTAACTTCATTCAGGTGACTTGTGCTTAAACATAAGTACTATAATGTGACTTACTTTTAATGCAGATCTATCTACATATAAAATAAGTCAATATTAACTATATAATTGCTGCTTATTTTTAACACAGGTCATCTCAAATATGCTCTAAATTATACAAGACGACTTGAGACTTCAGTTCAAGAAGTAATAAAAAGACGATGTCAAAAGAAAACATCAAAATTGTAAATTAGAGACATCCATTAGGCAAGGAAACTTGTATTAAGTAGCCGAACTTCCAAAACAAATTGAAGATGATTGACATTACCTCCAGAATTAGCAGAAAAATATACACACGAGGCTTTAAGCTAGAGTTGTACAAGTGACAGCACAGAAACAGTTGCCAAACACGACCTCTTTATAACCGCGACATAGTGTTCAACATTATATCTAAAATCTTAACTATAGACACCATGTGCTCGAGTTTTTAATGAAGTTATAAAAACATAGATTCGTAGAGGAAGTCTTTTACAAGGGCATGCAAAAATCAAAATTATGATTCAAAAGTAATAATCCATGCTTTTCTTCATCTAAACTAGACTCCTATAACAAGATGAGCTGCAAACCAGAAAAACCAATATGACGTGTAAGTTTCAGACAAATGCAAACTAATTCAATAACATTCACTTGTACGCTCCCATCCCAACTCCAGTTTCACCTCCATATGGTCTGGGGCTTTCATTCGCCCTGGAAAAACTAACATAATAGAACTCAGAGATTATGCAAGTGAAGAGCACGAAAGCTGCTCCTGCAGCAAAAACTCCCTTTCTCACAGTCTCACAAGAGGGAGGGTCCTCAAAGAACCTTGACCTGTACTTGGTGTGGTAAGCATTTCTCACTGAACCCGCCAGCAAGCAAACCTCAGCAATGAAGAATGCCACCCTGAATGATAATTACCGAATTTAGATTTCAGAATTTTATTGTGGGTTAGAAAGAAGACTTTGTGGGTAGACAATATATATGTAAAATCTATAGTGTGAAGAATGATACTTCGAAAGTTTTGCAATTTTGCCAAATGGAAGGATATATACCAGCAGATTATGAAAAGAACAAGTGCACAAGCCCTTGAACCTCCGGGGTTTAGAGCCTTTCCACAGCAGAAGCATCTACTTGCAACCATTATGAGCACTTGACTGGCCAAGAGGAATAAAAATGCACCGACACCAAATCCTGTTGCAATATCAGAGTCGTAAACACAATACTGGTAATTATCTTCACCATCTGTCCTTGTTGAGCCCTATCAACAATCATATAATTCAAATATTAGGAAGAGTCAAACTTAGTACTACTAATATCAAGCTGAAGCTCTGCACTAACAACCATGAAATAGAGCCAAAGCCCCAAGTTTAGTTCAAGTATTTAACTGCTTTAAAAAAAATGGATTTCCTCTTGCATTGTGAATTCTATAGAATCTGCATCAAACAATGGAAATAAACTCACACGCACATACTCACACTGGGAAAATGATTTTTGCAACTTTGTATCCACTAACCAGGATTCAATTTTATGGGGCCATTCTTCATTTGAATCCATATATCGTTCTTTACAGTGCCGCGTTTTACTTAAAAACCAAAAACCATATGAACAAAAGACTCGAATCCATATATCTTTCTCTACCCTGCCTTCCACATCCTTGACCATTGAATTGAGTAAAAAGTCATAGCTAGAAAATTATGGAAACTTGTCGACAGAGACCAGATGCCAGCCCGCCAGCCAAAAATCAATCCATATAAGAAAATTACAACGAGCATCAGAGATCAAACTTCGTTCATTCAAGAGGAGATGTTCATGTTAATATATTTCATACTCTTAAAGAAATTCGAGAGGAAAATATAATCCAAAACTCATGTCGAATAACTTCGGTGCAATTAATTTCTCAATAACTACAAGTTTAATCTTATAAGATATCCCATGTCATTTAACTAATAATTTCTTGAATCTACACAAGAAATTAAGAGAAATAATAATTGATTAAGAGAGTACTCACAGTGCTTCGTCTCTGCTCAGCAGCAACAGCCAAACCAAAAGCAATAAGATCAAGAACGAAGACAATAACGATTAACAGTTTGGAAGCCATTGAAGTGAAACTTCAATTTGATACCCAGTTCCCAGATCCAGATCTCTTCGCTTCTCTCTCTGCTTAAAGATGCGTACTTCAGTAAACAAGAAGAGATTTATGACAGCTTATCATTCGTTCACCGACAGTTCCGGGCCCCGCTACTCACCACCCAAAAATTAAAAAATTAAAAAAGAAACGGGATTGACCAGGAAAAATAGAGGGGGCAAAAAGGGAATAATCCCCCCCCCCCCCTCTTCCAGGGCCGTGGATTTCTAGCAGTGGCAAGTACAGCATGCCAGAATTTTAAACTTCCAAATTCAAAATTAAGATTTATTAATTTTTTTTTCCAAAAATTAGATGATAATTGATATTTTAAATATTAATAATTATATTACAAAATATTTAATTCATCTCACCTAATCCATACCCAACCATCCATACAAAACCCTATTCTTTTTCATCATCTCTATTTCTCGTCTCTCTCTAACCAACCTTATACCACTCTATAATCTATTGCAACCACTAGTCGTCTCAAGAAGCCATCATCGAATATCATCGCCGCCGACACCATTTCCTGATCTATTGATGCTGTTGCACTTTCTTCCCTCTTGCTTCATTGAGATCTATTATTATTATTATTATTATTATTTTCTGTATTTTGATGGTTGATGGTTTTGTGCGGTTTTATTATGGTTTGATGCGAGTGTAGTGATGTAGTGCTATGAGTGATGGTGGTGTGTGAGGAGTAGGGATGGCAATGAGTCGAGCCGACTTGACCGACTCAGCCCTTTAACCTACGAGTTATGCTCGAGCTCGTGGCTCGTGAGAAACGAGCCTAGCTCGAGCTCGGCTCAGCCCACGAGCTCAAGGCTTGAGCTGAGCCCACAAGCTTTTATTTTTTTAATAATTTTTTTTTTTTGTAAATTTGCACATTTTCGACGAGCCCATGAGCTCGTGAACTTTGGCTCGTGGGCACGATGAGGATTGAGCCCCCCGCAAATGACGAGTCAGAGTAGCCCACGAGCAGAGCGACAGAGCCGAAGAACCGCTAGGCCTATTTAACATCCCTAGCGGTGAGGAGAGAGTTTATAACCATTTATTTTGGTGGCCATGGTGGTGCAGATGATAGTGTTCAACGATGGTGTAGATTGTGCTGTAGGCGATAGTCTTTGGCGGTGGTGGAGATGTTGTAGATGGTGATTGTGGTGGTCATAGTGGTGCAGCTTATTTGTTGAGATGGTAAAGTTGGTGATGTTGATATCGACTGTCATGAGGTGGTGGTGGTGTTCTAGTGGTGATGGTCTGTTGAAGGAGTGGTCACAAATCATTTGATTGATTGCGACCAATAAATTGATTAATGTGTGACCAATATCAATAAAAAAAAGTGTTAAATTGTAACTAATAATTTGGTAATTTGTGACTTAAAATAATTTATGACTTATTAATTTTATAATTTATGATCAAGAAATAAGTTTGTGAGCTATAAATTTGTAATTTGTGACGAAAAACTTTTGTGACCACTTAATTCGATAATTTGTGATCAAATTATATAAAATTATGACCTTAATATATTTAATTAATAAGATATATTTTTAATTAATTATTTTATAAATAAAATTTAATTAATATCCATTTTTTGAAATTTTAAACGTTGTTTCTTAATTTTGAAATTAATTATACTTATTCTCTTAAATATGAAAATTTTCCTTTCTAGCATCTCTCGGGAAAAAGCCCATTGAACAACCCCCAGACGTTTAGGGCGTCATTTGGCGCCCCTATAGGTGCGGGGCCTATTGGATTCAGGGCCCATGTAGTCTTGAACAAGTAGTCTTTTCCTAAAAAATAACGTGAAACGAATACTTCGTAAAATGGACTTTATTTTGAGCTAGATATAGCTATTAAACACACATACAAAAAAAAAAAGAAAAAAAAGAAAAAAAATGTACCAAGCTTTAGATTGACTCTATAATCTAAATAGGCCCTTGTTTGAGCCCCATTTTGGGGGCATAAAATGAATTTTTGAATAGTGTATTGATTTAAAATATGTGGTTAAAAAATAAGGAAACATTTTAGATTTGTGTGTAATATTATTTTATTGAAAAATGTGTGGTTGAAATGATGTCAAAACACTGTTGAAAAATACATTTTTACCAAAGAATGGAGGGTCAAACAAGGTCTAGAATTATGCTGATGGATAAAGTTATGGAGATTTTTTTTCTTTTTTCTTTTTTAATAGATAACCCAATAATAGAAAATTAAAACAATTAAAAAATAGTAAGTTTTACAATTTGGTATTATGAAAAATTAAGGATTAATAAGTTTTACAATTTGGTATTATGAAAAATTAAGGTCTATTGGATTCAGGGCCCATGTAGTCTTGAACTAGTAGTCTTTTCCTAAAAAATAACGTGAAACGAATACTTCGTAAAATGGACTTTATTTTGAGCTAGATATAGCTATTAAACACACATACAAAAAAAAAAGAAAAAAAAGAAAAAAAATGTACCAAGCTTTAGATTTACTCTATAATCTAAATAGGCCCTTGTTTGAGCCCCATTTTGGGGGAATAAAATGAATTTTTGAATAGTGTATTGATGTAAAATATGTGGTTAAAAAATAAGGAAACATTTTAGATTTGTGTGTAATATTATTTTATTGAAAAATGTGTGGTTGAAATGATGTCAAAACACTGTTGAAAAATACATTTTTACTAAAGAATGGAGGGTCAAACAAGGTCTAGAATTATACTGATGGATAAAGTTATGGAGATTTTTTTTCTTTTTTCTTTTTTAATAGATAACCCAATAATAGAAAATTAAAACAATTAAAAAATAGTAAGTTTTACAATTTGGTATTATGAAAAATTAAGGATTAATAAGTTTTACAATTTGGTATTATGAAAAATTAAGGATTAATAGAGGAATACTCCCATTTAAACATTTTCATTTGCAACATACCCTTATACCTATTGGAAATCGTAGAAAATCCTCTTGTTTTAAACGTTTTGTGTGAAAAACACCCCTACCATCAACATATGTCTGGTGTACCGTCAAATCCCAAGAGTGAGGGGAAATGGATAGATAAGGAAGGGAAAATGCATCAATTCATATCGTTATCTTTAATAACACCTACACACAACTAGTATTTTCTTTATGTCCTTCATTTCGTTACCTAACACCACTTCGTTCCTTGCGTACATAGCTGCAACCACTTCACCCGTACCTTTGATGGACTTCCGTCTATGCAGATGTCAAACGGAGATTGAGCAGAAGACTTTGTGGATGGCAGCGATCCCGGGAAGAAGGTTATTTCCATGCACGCGACAGCTAGTAATGGAAACTCGAACACAATTTTTGAACCAATTTTTCATCGAGTATGCTCAAGCTCTGATATATATATTTTTTATTTTCTACATCAAAATGGATGTTGTGGGCACTTCTTGTGGTTTAACCCACCTATGTGTAGTAGATCTATCTGCTATTGAAATTGTAGAGGCAGAGTAGTGATTTTAGATTTAGGTCTTGAGGTTTTGGGTTTTTATGTGGATATGTAGTGATGTGGGGTTTTGGCGGAAAATAAAGCTTCGATCGCCTTGTAGATGTGTGTACTGAATAGATGTTGGTGAATGTTGTGTTTTTTGTACTTGAGATCTGTAAGTTATATGTTCATTGTAATGTTCCAATTTCATCATCTATTTCATTTCTTCTTGTTTGGTTGTTCGATGGTAATGATTGCGTGACACATCATTTGATATAAATTGGTTGCAAAAAACCTCCTATTATTGAATGGATCGAAGTATGTCCTTGTCGTCCCTCCAATGCTTAAGTTAGCAAAAAGAGAAAATATGAGAACGAGGAATGAATTATAATAATGTAAAACATACCTATTATTGAATGGATGACTTGTATTTATAGAATTGGACAGTTGAATCCTAGTAGATACCTTATTGATTTAAGAAATCCTATAGGAAGTGAGAGTCATATGAAAGATGGATATTACAAATTCATTGAAACTATAGAACTATTGTAGTTGGATAATACTAGAATTGTGGTAGTTGAGTCCTTCTAGGTTAGGAAACCAGAGAGAGAGAGAAAAAGGATAGCAAGGGGAGCAAGATATCCAAATACCTCAAGCTTCAATACTGAGCTCAACCACACGATCTCGTGAATGTTCTGGCGCAAGGGAAATCTCAGGGTTATCATGACCTCGAGCACATGATAGTGGCTGGTCGGGTAATATATTAATTGTACACATCTTGGCCCTGTACGTCCATGTTCGAGATTCAAGAATGTTGGTTAGAATGCTTGAGGTTCGAGGATGAGATGCAAATTGCTCGAGTAAGTGTAGAATGCTCGAGGCCAAGGCAAAAATTGATTGAGATCATGGTGAAGTTTGCTCGAGGTTGAGGTGAAGGTTGCTCGAATTTGAGGTGAAGGTTGCTCCAAGTTAGAGGTAAAGGTTGCTCAAGTTTGAGGAGAAATCCAGAGGCTTCAGGGTTTAAGCTAGGTACGAGGTTGGTCGAGGATATTTGGACCCCATGTATGTGGTGTATAACCCAAATAATAGTAATGATGGGTGTTTGATGACCTAGGGCCTAGATGGGTGACACATGGCATGCATCAATGAAGACTATACCAAGGATGGCTCCGAGGGTTCCAAAAAGCCCGCTGGCCCTCTAGTTTAGGTTGTACCTCGAGTTCCTTTTTTGTAATGAAAAAAATGACTATGTAAGAAATTTCAAGTTTATGAAAAAAGTATTTTGCCTAACCATGTTTTTTATGTATTGTAAGTGATTGTCTTGAAGAACACAATGAAACAACTCCGACATTGTATAATTAACAAATTTCGATGCTACGTACACTACCAATCCCAAAGAAGTCATAATAATATATCGCGATGTACAAGTTCTTTGTGGTTGAGGGTTATATGAGATCTACATGTTAGGGAAAATGACTTGCGCATTGTAATTCTGTTTTGATCAAATGTTACAATTGAGAAAGATGTCTTCAGTCCCATGCTTGAGGATAGAGGGTTGAGGAGTGCTTACACAAGACAAGGCTTTGAGGGTTTTTGTAGGACAAGAATTGAGGTGTTTGTAGGAGACAATACTTTTAAGTGTTTGAGTGGGACAAGGCTTGAGATGCTTGTATGGGAGTAAGACTGTTGGTGCTTGTGCGGGACAAACTTGAGGTGCTTGAGTGGGGACAAGGCTTGATTTTTATGAG